AATGTTCAACATTTTTGTAATTTTTAAAATTCGTTTGGAAAAGTGTTGAAGAAAAGTCACTGAAAGTCGTGTTCAGATAACCCAAAATAACCTCACACTTGGAGATTTGATGTTGTCCAAAATAGTTTTTCTTATATGGGTCCCTGGCATTTACGATCCAAATCACAAATTTTACGTGATTGATATGTCGTAAATGATGAGGAAGGGAGCGTAAAGTACTTTACGGGGTCTCCACGCGTACTTCACGATATGGGTCCCTGCAATTTACGGGATCAACCTCTTAATTTACGACATAAAAATCGTAATTTACGTGGTTTTATTTTCCATATGGAGTCCAATGAAACTCTTTTGATTTTAAGCAGACCTTTTTTGTAATCAATTTTCTGCGCTAGAAAAAAAATATTTTGATAAATTCTCCTACACGTAGTAGTTTCTGAGATATTTTCTAAATGTCTAAACTACATTTTTTCACTTATCCAGTTTTACCACTTCACTACATTCATTAGAAAACTTTTTGAGACCAAGCCTGATTGAGCCAATTACCTCTCGTATGGTCACCTTCCTCAGAGTTTAAGGAATGCTGACTCCTTGATTGAGTAGATCGATAATGAATGCCATCCACTGAAATTTATGCAAGGTTTTGCTTTTTTGAAGGCACTTGATCCATCGGTTGAATCTGGGAAGTTGTATTGGGGGTTAGAATTCTACCCGAGTATCACTGATAGCTAAATTAGCTGAATATGTTGAGCAATTGCCCATGAAATATATGGCTTCGGGTAGTAGCCAATGCGGTTGCAAATATTCTTCAACATCAAGGACAAATTCCCCCTCAAACGAAAAAGCACTCATCCATGCACTTTTACGATTTTTGCAGTAAACTAGGAATATTTTTAAGTCTTTAAAGCACGAGGTCTTGCGTACTTCCCAGTAACCATGAGGGGTAATTTCAGTGGACAAAGGCGGGCTCTTTGAATCCCGACACTGTAGTGACACTAGCAGCAATCAATGAAGTTTTTGGTACCTGACGGAAGTTGAGGTCTGTCTCATTACAATTTGCGGAGGCGTTAGTCCCTCGTTCTTTCTGTCTTGAGGCCTTGTAACTCTCGGCACTAACTTCATCTAAGGACAGTTTCTTCGCAAAAAGTATCGCTTGCTTGATTCCATATCGAATTCTCCATTTATCTAACCAATCAGAAATTGCCTGAAATTCTGTGATTCCTCCAAATAATTTCCAAAAATTCGATGTCTGAAGTCTAACTACTGGGCCAGTGAGGGAGAAACCTAAATTACCATCTTCCTTAAAGCACATGCAAGTAGCAGAATCCATTACTGGATGTACTAGAGGTTTAATTCTCCTTTGGCTAGCAAGTGATATATCCACGTGATCTTCTTTCCAATTCCTCAAAGTTTCTTCATTTTTCATCCATCTTTTCACTGTTTTGAGATGACCATTCAACTCTTTGACAATGATGTCGGAATATCAGTAGCACGATTAATTTAATCTATTGCTTTCAATTTGACAGTCATGTCCCACGATTTGAATGTTCGTTTTTTTTTGCCATTTTTGAGTTTCACTGCGGATGACACACCGAACTGCCAAGTAAACACATTGCCATTGCGCATCTGCTCGGCAGATGTAAACGGCAGAGGAATGGGATGGTGGGGAACTCGGAACACTTATATACGTGGACACTGACGGAAGTTCCACTGTGCCTAACTTTTTAGATTATTGACAAATCCTGGGTGAAATTGATGCATCGTGCGAGAGACAAACTGAATGCTGTCGACACTTGTACATCGGATGAAACGATGAGTCAACTTCTACCGCATCTTGTGGAGCAGCTTGAGTCTTGTCAGAAATCATTAAGCGGATATCTGGAAACGAAACGGATGTCCTTTCCGCGGTTTTACTTTGTCTCAGATCCAAATCTCTTAGAAATCCTTGGTCAAGCTGCAGACTGTCATAGTATACAACATTACTTAGATGAATTCTTCGACAATGTTGCTAAAGTATAATTCTATCGTTACTACTGATAGCCGGTCTCATAAAGAAAAGTTTTGTATGTAATTTTCAAGGTAGATTTTTCGGATGTGGAAAATGATAAAATAGTCGCCATATATTCACACGAAAATGAAAAAGTTGTCCTTGATAAGGAAGTTGCTTGTATTGGCGGTGTAGAGATTTGGTTGAATACTCTATTAAAGATGCATCAGCAGTCAGTTGGGAGTGTCATATCTCAAGGTCTCCAACTGTTGAGTATTCCTGAAAATGATATATGTACTCTCATTGACTCTGCAATTCTTCAAGTAATTCAATTTTCAATTTTCTATGTCTACTATGATAAGAAATATCAGATAATGTGAAAATTTGATGATATTCTATAGACGGGATTATTGGCGATCCAGACATTGTGGACTCGTGATTCAGAAGTTGCCATTGTATCAGCGAAGCGTGACCGAACTATAATGAAGAAAACAGACCAGTGGTTTTTAGATTTACTCAATGGCTTGATCGAAGTTACTGTGATGGATCTTACCAAATATGCAAGGGCTAAATACGAGGCCCTTATAACGATTCATGTACATCAGAGGTATCAGATTTGTCAACGAATCGGTTCACATACAATCGATTCAATCAATCCATCGATTGTCCATGACATAATATGGGGAGACAATTTTTGTGAAAAACTGCCGTGACAATGGCATTGAAATTATGCTTGAAGCCTAAACGAGAATTCTGTATAACTTATAAAACTAACTTGATTTCCTTAGGATAAGAATCAGTTAGCTCTCGACTCCCAATATTATATTTATTGCTCATAGAAATAACTATTTGATATCTCATGATTATGAATATGAAAATCTCCATTACCGTGTTTGTTCAATGATAGAGATATATTCAATGAGCTGTGCAAATTGAAAATACGGAGCATAGAAGATTTTGAATGGTTGAAACAAGCTAGATTTTATTATGAGGAAGAGACAGAAGCTGTCGTGATAAAAATCACTAATATTGACTTCACATATCAAAATGAGTTTTTGGGGTGTACGGATCGTCTCGCGGTAACTCCTTTGACAGACAGATGCTATATAACTCTAGCGCAAGCAATCGGTCAGTAGTATTATGTATAACCAATCCAAGGTGTAACGTTTATTACAAATTATAATGATACAGGAATGAACTTTGGTGGAGCGCCAGCAGGCCCCGCCGGAACGGGAAAGACGGAGACAACGAAGGACATGGGCAAGTGTCTTGGAAAATATGTTGTAGTATTTAATTGTTCTGATCAGATGGATTTTCGTGGGCTGGGGCGAATATTTAAGGTATCTTTATGTCCTATCGATCATTATGCTGTGTATAAATTGTACTATTCATGCCAAAGTAAATGTAGAATATATTAAGGTTCTGACTGAGGTATTGTAATCTTTCGCAGGGTCTGGCGCAGGCTGGTGCATGGGGGTGTTTTGACGAATTCAATCGTATTGATTTACCTGTGCTATCTGTTGCCGCTCAACAAATAGCCATTGTATTGACTGCTCGGAAGGAAAAGAGAACTAGCTTTATTTTCAGGTAACGAAGTTGCAAAATACGAGAAAACTGAATCGAATTCTTATGAAATCATTGGTCACTTCACGGCGGTTGAGTTCGATTATTGCGTATCGCTCGACATAATTATTCATTTTTTAGTGACGGACAGACGTATCCAATTGATATGGAATTTGGTTTATTCATTACGATGAACCCGGGATATGCTGGACGTCAAGAATTACCTGAGAATTTAAAAATACAATTTCGCAGTATTGCCATGATGGTTCCCGATCGACAGGTGCGTATTGAAAATAAATTCTAATTATCATGGTTTGAATATTAGGATATTAGAAATTAAATAGGAACTGAAATCATACAGATAATCATGAGAGTCAAATTGGCGGCATGTGGTTTCAAGGAAAATGTTTTATTGGCACGAAAATTTTTTACGCTTTATAAACTTTGTGAAGAACAATTGAGCAAGCAAGTGCATTACGATTTCGGCTTACGGAATATTCTGTCTTGTTTGAGAACTCTTGGGGCTCAGAAGAGAGCTCATCCAGAAGAATCTGAAGAAACAACACTTATGAGAGTCCTTAGGTATGATATACGTTGAAATTTTCATATTTTTTCCATTTCGTCGTAATACTCGTAGCTTCATCGAATAAAATTTAAGAGTAGAACAAGGAGGCAAACCCCGACCTTAAGGGTGACTGGGTCCTGATTAGAGGCAGCGAAACGAGAGGAGCTACAGGCGCCCACTTTGCTGCCCTGATCAGGGATCAAACCCTGCGGGCCCTAGAGGCTTGCAATTTTAAACCTCACTGCGGGACTCAAAGAG